AACTCTGCGGAGATCGTGCGCGTCGAGTGCGCGAAATGCAGGCGAGAGTGCGATGCGCCGGGTGCTCGCGCAACCCTCTGCGGAGATCGCGCGCGTCGAGTGCGCGAAACGCAGGCGAGAGTGCGATTTGCCGGCTGCCCGCGCAACCCTCTGCGGAGATCGCGCGTGTCGAGTGCGCGAAATGCAGGCGAGAGTGCGATTTGCCGGCTGTCCGCGCGACCCTCTGCGGAGATCGTGCGTGTCGAGGGCGCGAAATGCACACGAGAGTGCGATTTGTCCGGTCCGCGCGCAACCCTCTGCGGAGATCGTGCGTGTCGCGTGCGCGAAACGCAGGCGAGAGTGCGATTTGGTACGCAACTCTAGTGCGCAGAGTAGCTGGGGAGCTAGAAGCTGAGAACTGGCGACGTGGTAGTGCGAGAGTAGTACGCGGAGTAGCTGGGGAGCGGGAAGATGAGAACTGGCGAGTGGGTAGTACAACTTGAGGGCGTGGAGTATCTGGGGACCTGGGAGGTGAGCACTGGCGACTTTGTAGTACAACTGTAGTACGCGGAGTAGCTGGGGAGCTGGAAGCTGAGAACTGGTGACTTTGTAGTACAAGTTTAGTACGCGGAGCAATCTGTGGAGCTGGAAGCTGAGAACTGGCGACTGCGTAGTACAACTTCAGTACGCGGAGTAGCTGTGGAGCTGGAAGATGAGAAGTGGCGACTTGGTAATACAACTTTAGTACGCAGAGTAGCTGGGGAGTGGGAAGATGAGAACTGATGAGTGGGTAGTAGCTGAGAACTCGCGACTGTGTAGTACAACTTTAGTACGAGGAGTAGCTGGGGAGCTGGAAGATGAGAACTGGCGACTTGGTAGTACAAATTTAGTACGCAGAGCAGCCGGGGAGTGGGAAGATGAGAACTGGCGACTTGGCAGTGCAACTTTAGTACGCAGAGTGGCTGGGGAGTGGGAAGATGAGAACTGGTGAGTGGGCAGTAGCTGCGAAGTGGCGACTTTGCAGCACAACTGTAGTGCGCGGAGTTCTGCACGCTACTTCGTTCATCTCCTCTGACAGGTCACTGCTTCGAGACACTTCTGGCGCGGCTGCCTCAGCATTTTCTGTGTTCATTCCAGCTGGGTTTTTTCAGTGAGATTCCCTACCAGCAGCTCACACGCTCACGACGATGAGCTGGGCTGTCACCGCTTGGCCGCCGGTGGGGGTTTGGGAGGCCTGCGCGCTACTTCGTTCATCTCCTCTGACAGGTCACTGCTTCGATACACTTCTGGCGCACCTGCCTCGGCACTTTTGTGTCCTCATTCCGGTTCGTTTTTTTCCGTGAGCTTTTCCTGGCGCCGTGCACGCTGCTTCTCCCCTTACCAGCAGCCCAAATGCTCACGACGATGAGCTGGGCTGTCACCGCTTGGCCGCCGGTGGGGGGTTTGGGAGGCCGCATCACACACAGACACCCACACACTCCCTCAACTTACACGAACGCACACATACGCAGACTCATTTCCACGCGGACATAGACACACGCACAGAAACCCACACACTACCTCACCTCACTCGACTTCACACTTCTCACTGCACGCTTACCGGATAAGTCGCACTCTGACTTCCTACGTGATGAAAAATGCTTTCGGGCCACTCGTCGTCTAGTTGTCTATTGTTATTTTCCTGGTTTTGGGGTCTGGAATTGGGTTTTATTCCCCACATCTTAGTGTGGGGTTCTTCTTTTCTATGTCTCATCCCGCTTCTCCCGCTTCGCTTCGCTTCTCCCGCTCCTCCCGCTACTCGTTCTGAGACAACACCGAGACAACACACACAGAGATCACACACACCGAGACAACACCCACAGAGACACACACAGAGACCACACACACACAGAGATCACACACACAGAGATCACACACACCGAGACAACACCCACAGAGACAACACACACACACAGAGATCACACACACCGAGACCACACACACAGAGAGATCACACACACCGAGAGACCACACACACAGAGATCACACACACCGAGAGACAACACACACCGAGACAACACACACAGAGACCACACACACACACACAGAGATCACACACGCCGAGACAACGCACACCGAGACAACACACACTGAGACAACACACACAGAGATCACACACACACAGAGATCACACACACCGAGAGTACGATAGATCTCGCTCCGTTAGAGGGTCTGGTGGTTGCGTTGTCGGCTCTGGTCGGCTGTGGTCGCCGGCGGCGCTGTCTTATTGGGAATTGCAATAGATCTGGCTCCGTTAGAGGGTCTGCATGGCGGTTGCGTTGTCGGCTCTGGTCGGCTGTGGTCGGCTGTGGTCGCCGGCGGCGCTGTCTTATTGGGAATTGCAATAGATCTGGCTCCGTTGGAGGGTCTGGTGGTTGCGTTGTCGGCTCTGGTCGGCTGTGGTCGGCTGTGGTCGCCGGCGGCGCTGT